CGGGCGCCCCCCCCGGGGCCCTGCCGAGGGAGTGGGTCCCGAACCCCGGCCGCGGGGCAGCTCTCCCTCGCTCCCACCCAGTGCTGACCACGCTAGCGGCCAAAACGTGGGGCCGCCGTACGGGGCCTGTGGAGGGAGGGGTCTGAAGGAGCAAAGCTCGCGGAGGATTTCGGTGGGAGATCCATCACCGAGCTGGGAGAGGCACGAGCCTGGGCGGGAGGGAGGGCAAGCCCAGCGCAGAGTGGGGGGCGGCCGGCCCGAGTGTCCCGAGGCGAGGAGGCGTCGCTGGAGGGACCGGACAGGCAGGGACGGACCACAGCCACCTTCCGTGGCTGGTGGAAATTGGCCCAAGTTTAGCCTGGAGGGTAGAGGTAAGCGAGTGGGGAAGGGAGGCTGAGGAAGGGCTGAGGACAGGGCATGAAAAAGGAGGGAAACAAGCGCTGGTTTTGGTCTTTCCTTCATCAAGGGAACCCTCACCTTCAGCCCTGCCAGAAATGGGCCGGTGGAAGGAGAGGCGCTAAAGGAAGCCTGGCAGACAGCGTCAAGGTGAATAGACAATGTCTTTGCGTGCCAACATCCTCAAAGTGAAAATGTTTCAGTGGAAAATATTTTGATTTTAAAAGCGGCAGCTACAGTTTCTGGTTTGCTGCGCGCTGTGAAGCCAGGGTCCTCGCCTGAGAGTACGTTTTGGTAATAAATCAGCATGAAAATGAACAACATGGGCACCGGCGTTTGGTACGGGCTGGTGTGCTATGAAAAAGCATGTCTTAGCCACACAGAGCATTTAAAACTCCATTTACAAGGTAGAAAAGGAGCATTTTCTCCATTCCCCAAACTGACACTTCCTCCGTGTAGTACTGCAAGGAGATTTAAAGGCACACTATGAATACCACTAGAGTTTTGTTGTTGGGCTGCATCTTGATAGTAGTTTTTGAAACATGTTGTTATTTTTCATCTCTCTCTTCACCAATACTGCAAAACAACAGCCACAGGGGGATGTTTCGTGGTGACTGTCGGTTCAGTTCTGCTCCCACTGAAGTCAGCAGCCGTTGGGTTGCTGTAACGAGACAGATTGCTGATGTGATGACTTGCTTGGGGTGGGGGGACAGAGAGTTTACTGGAAGGATTCCTACGCTGTGTTATTCATTAGTGGCAAAGCCCTAATCAAATTTTGAGGAGAACCTTGCATAATTCCTGGTAAGTGCCAGTAAATCAGTATGTATCACATAGGCTGCAGAAAAGCTATTTCAGGAATGTCTTAGGTGTCGTCTTCTTACATTTTGTTTGTCTCCCTCTGCCAGAAAAGATTCACTGGTAATCGTGCTCCAGACTGTCAGATAGGCTGGGCCAGTGGTGTTGCTCTGTGGAGGCAGGTTTGCTTTCTGGCTGAATGCGTTGGCTCCAGAGAGGTAGCTGCAGAGATCACCACACGTCCCTGTGCGCTGTTCGGCGCAGTAAAAAGGCGTGATGGTAGAAGCTTATCTTGGGACTCTGGT